GGTTTACGGAGTTAGATCGTTACCAGGAGAGTCTTCACAGTGTGGAGCGCTTTTTTTTCGGACCAGTCGTTGTTCGTTTGCTGCAGAGCTCAAGTGGATTACAAATCGGAGGTCCATTTTCGCTGGGTGGCTCCTGAAGTCCGAACAAGTAAAATAAAAAAAAAATCGGAAAAATTTGCATGGATTAGGCAGTTTTACGCGTTAAGGTGATGTACGGAGTTTCCAGCGAAAGAGTACTCCGTTCTGGTAATGAATATAACACCTGTTGCTGGCGATGGCGCGATTTGAAGAAAGTTCGTAAGCTCCAACAAAGATACAAATCTTCACGGGAACTGGACCTGTACCACTTCTTCACCACGTATTGGCCTACACGGGACCGCTCTGCGAAAACATATAAGCGTTCTCGAAAAGTGCTCCCACGCGGATGCGATCTTAATAGCACCTATAGTTTAAACTCAATCCGACTACCCACCTCCTACAGTCAAGAAATTTGTTTCGATCTATAAATGTTTCATGTCTAGCTTGTGTTTAGCAGTAGTGGCAGTTTCGGGTGCTATGCTGTCAAAAATAATGACTGCAGCGGAAAAGCTAAAATTGTCATGGAGGTGGGACTTTCGCAGCGTGATGCTGGAAAATGGGCGTTTTTCGAAAGCTTGACGCGACAAGGTGTCGGGATTTATTTGAGAGAAAATTGCCTGCAACGCGTTCTGGAACTGCTTAACATCCTGCAGATCCTGTTTACACCGCGCTATGGCTATGCAGTGCCTCGTTCGCAGAAACACTTAAATTGCACGTAAAGCAGATCGCTTTAACAAGCCGTAAGGTGATTTTATGTTTTGAAGAACTTCAGTCAACCACCCCCATTACGCCACTTCAATAATCTTTCATTGGATGGATAGAGTTGTATGCGAATGTAACCAGTATGCCGTTAACATGGCTCGAAAGTGCCTTCAGACGCATAGCGATCCGAAAAAGCTCTTTCTGGATGGCCTTAAGTGGCACTCCTTCCACACATTATGCAACGGTAGTATGTCTGCGCCCTCTCGTACAGCGTGCTGTCTCGCGTGTTCTCTTCGATCGAAGCCCCATATTTCTTTGAAGGCACCGATTACGATAGATCTAAAAGGGGTTCGAGGGGACGTGGAGGTCTGAATAATACGCCAATGGCGAAAAAATAAGCAAAATAGTACCCCTTTGATTGCCCTTTCATTTTCGACCATGGATGAGCGACGGTAAAGAACGACGTTGTTCGGACGTGTTAACCCCGATAGCCGCCATCATGCCAACAAGCATAGTGTTTTGATTGATAAGGCATTACATGGGCAAGTTGGAAGATACAGCTCGATAAAAGGGAAATTGGGGTAGGTGTGGCACTGAATGTGACGTGCACATTAGATAGACTTGCCGCGATAAACTGTTCCGAGCACACATTCGCTGGTAGTATCAGCAACAGCATCTGATAACATTTGTTCTTTGCATTCCACCAGCAGACTTCTATCAGTACACGCTCAATTCCGGTCACACACTACCCCAACTTTGCGGATATCAAGTTGGAAAGTACCGGATAAAAGGGAAACGATCTCCCAAAATGAAAAGCCAAAGACAGCTCGCCCAAGTCATCATCTGAACAAGTGGGCGTAACGCTGCTGGAGGCGGAGTGCTGCGGAGGTCCTGCTCAGCAACCACAGCACCTTTCGCCGTGGAAGCGCCACACATCGCTTCCTTGGCAGCCAAGTAATTGCTCCGTGTGGCGCAGGTTCTCCCCCGATGCGAAAATTCCTTATCGTAATCGCTTCCTTTAAAACCACAGTCAAGTTCAGGACGAGGGGGGCTTTTGATTTGAGTGATTTGATCTTTTCTTTTGCTGCTTTCCTTCACCCCCGGTCTCCTTCTAATATCCACTTCTATGTACTTCGAGATGGCAATAAACCACAAATTTTGGAAACGGACCCTATTATGTCATGCCGGTGGCAAGCTTTCGTCACTCTGACTGCCTTTAATGCCTCAAGACTGAGAGGCAAAATTACATGGCAGAGCACTCATTTCTTACACCTACCAATCTATTAACTCTAACAAGGTGTGGATGAGAGAAGGTCTAGATGGTGGTAGCTTAAACAAGAAGTGGATATCAGTCCAGTTTTGAGTGAGGGTATCATTACTATGGGGTTACGCAAGTGGACTAATGAAGCACCATGTATGTACCTACTATCCATTTACTTAAAGCGAGAAATTACGATAAAATTTCTGTGCAGCATGGAAGAACGAGCAGCACTTCAAGCAGTAGCTAGAGCCCAAAGGAATCGAGATGTGGCCTTTTTGTGACTAAAGGTGCGCTCGTTGCAGCGCCCTGGGGCTGCCAATCCTTTCTGAGCTCCGCCTCCGCCTGTGCTCCGCCCCTCAGCAGATCGCTGTTCGATTATCATTCTGATAAGGTATGCCACTTCGAGCGCGTATCCAATTTTTTTCTCATGGAATGCTATATCAATCAAGGTATGATCTCTGGTGGTATGATGGCAGCTATGGTTTAACGAGTGCCGACGACCTCTTAGTTGGTTGCCAACTCGTCCATTATCGGAGGTCAACGGGCAGAGGAAGTGGTCCCATTTTGCGCGTTTTTGATCCTATCGCAATCTCTCGCTTTAAGTTCAACACTAGGGACCGGCTCAATACTGATCCTTTTGAATACAAAACATGAAAAGACGAGTATGAAAAAAAGACTTATGTATGTTAACAAAATCGCATAATCTTCGAAAGCACATAATTAAAATGGACGGGTAATGTCCGCAAGAAACAATTCGTAATATGAACTTTTCTGGGACTCTCGTGTCGTGAGGGAACTTTAGAGAATACTGATCTGGAACTATGGGAAAATCATGCGGTCCTTTTTTTCTCTGGAACCTCCACAAATAAAAAAATGACCATCAATCAAGTGCCACATGTCAGATTTCAGAAGGGAAGTTTGAAGAATTGCAAGCCCTGGCTCTGCAAGAAATAGCTTGGTCGTCTAAAGGCAAGTCAAATGAGGCATCATCGGCTCTGGGATTGTCCTTAAACAGACCGAGAAAAATGAACTGAACTCGTTCAAGAACTATAGAAGAAGTGGAGGTACCTCGCAGGATATTCACCGCTGAGAGTGATCCGCGAGGCAACTAAGGGCGATTACTCTGTGCAAGTGATTTTACTACGACCGCACCGGTTCAGTGTAATGCATCACGTCACGGGCGAGATGTTTTTTCGTGTTGTCATGATGCAAAGAGTCGTTGAACGACCAACTGCACGGCTTGTAACCCATTAGAAAACTAAACACTCTAATAAATCAACCATTTACACGGTGTATTGGTGTGTTGGTATGTCCTTCCGTCTTTCTACCAGTCTGCGAAATGCCCGTAGTTGTGACGAGGAAAACGACAGGAGGAAGCAACAGAACACATAAACAAGACAAAGTGAGATAAAATGTTGTTCGTGGGTTACACCCCCACTATCATAAACAAATAAGAGGACTTCCCGTAATTAGTACACGGGCGGCCACCTTACAAGGTAGCAGAGTTTCACCTGGGGGTTGAGCATGAGGAAGACGAGCTGCGCGTTCAGGATCGGGGGGGGGGGGTTGAGTTGAGCACAGAACTTGCTTATACATGAATAATGAATGTCAACGTGCTTGATCCTTAAGACTATAATGCCTTTTTCCATGATCTTTTCCTTTTATTTTCTTCTTTCGTTTGTTATTGTTTCAACTAATTACTTTAATTATGCATTCGGCTCATTGCGAAACCACCTAAATATACTTGCTAAACAGCATCTTGTGTAAAGCGTCGCCTTAAATCTTCTTCTGTATCCCCGTCTATATGTTTTTACCAATAAACAGATTCTGAGCAAATGTACGATTCTATACTATTAGGTCGGTCCACAATTTTTGAGAACCTTTGGTGTTTTTCGATTTATTACTTATCTTATTTCTCTGATCTACTTATCCAGCATAGTATACATCATTATTATTAACAACATATCGCCAATGCGAGGGTGGGTATTCAGTGCCTCTCTTGTGGACTTTCATAGAGTTCTGATCGAAGGAAAATTGTAGTCCCGAATCAGTTCTCAACCCAATCTGACATCATCAAGTTCCTGTTGGTTTCCTATAGTTCCTTCGGATGACCATCTATAATACTCATTGGTGATGTGGACTGGGTGCAGTGTGCTAACAAATCCACGAGCCGCAGTAGATTTGCTAAACGATTCGGGAGTTCTGACAGTACAAACCCAACTCCCTCTGAATTCGAACTTCCTGAGTCGTTGGCGCAATACGGGAGGGCCTTTGCGCTGAAGACCGGCATCAACTAATACCAGTGTCAGTGATGGGAAGAATCGTTGACAGCTTGATGGCAACGCCTTCAACTTGAAAGCAAAGGAAGACAAAATCTATTTTTCTCTGAGGTCGTTCGAGCCCGCCTTGCTAAGAAAATTCCTAAAAAATTGGAGACTCTCGGGCGGTCAGTTCTTTTAGCTCCGCCTTATAGCACTAATCCTGCGTCAACGAACGACTCTCTCTCAATCACCTTCTGGAGAAGAAATCTCACTTGAATCACCATAAAGTCAAAATCGACATCCAATATTTCTTCGATCAGAACTCTATGAAATTCTACAAGAGAGGACACTGAATACCCACCCTCGCATTGGTTATATGTTGGTAATAATGGTGATGTATACTGTGCTGAATAAATACATCAGAGAAATAAGATAAGTAATTAAGTCGAAAAACACCAAAGGTTCTCAAAAATTATGGACCGACCTAATACATTTATTGGGTTTGGAGCATAATATCGTTGCGTTTTTTTTTTCGAGCTACGAATTGAGTTCAATACAAGAGTCACCCAGGAAACCACATATATCATTTGAAAGTACTTCTTCTGCTCTACAATAGCATGTTTGGCATTTTCTTCTGTACTGTAAGTGTACTACAGATATGGCGCTTAGAAGTTGGAGAATGAAAGCTGGGCGAAAATCTATGTGGAGAAAAAAGCTGCCAAAAGAGGAGTTTTTCGGAAATCCATCGTCATCATCGAACCTTACTCCGGTCGACCCTTAATTTCAAATCATATTCACGTCGTACAAATTGAGAATAATGAGGATTTAAAAACGGGCTCACTACCCTTTTTTGATTTCTAAACCCGGTAATTTCTTGCGAAATGGAACCAAAGTCGTAAATAATGACGAGAAGAACATCACTGATCAGTTTTATGCTTGGCTTTGCTTTTGGGTTTTGCTTTAAACGTTTTTGCCGAATGCGAGCGCTACGATATTATGCTCCGACCCAATATTTGGATTCCGATACAACTTGTCAGTCAAAAAAAATCTGCCCTTTTACTATATTTCCAACTGCTCCCTTTGCTAGCTCTGTTGAATAACAGAATGATCAACCCTAAATTGATTACAGAAACCGTCTGACCTCAAAACGTTGCCAGCTGAAATCTATACGCCGTCCGAGCCACCAGCTTGCGGTCTCCTCATCGACACTGGCAAAGAATACCTTCTTGCAGGTATATTTTATTGTCACCTATTTTCGGAAGCGCGACTCAAAGGCACAATTAGTCAATGAGATGAAGCGCTAGTATGAGAAAGGTAGAGAGATCACAAGCATGCTGTTCGCGCAAATTTGCTTCTGAAGTCGCTAAGGCTTCAGGGTTTACATAGACGTCGCGAGCCAGTTCCTCTCTCGCCCTCTTGTCATCGATTCTTTTCCCTCTCCGCTTTACTTGGTGTCTCTTATCCTGTGGTCTGTCTCTTACAACCTTTCACAGCTTGGAGAAAATAGGCCTCTATTTTTGTGGTTTAGTGGTTTCTTTTCCTTTATTCATCACTGCTGATACATTTCGTACCTTCCAATTTCCCTTTTGAGCGAAACAACCCACCAACTTGGTCCTGGTGAGTGCCTCGTGTTCCTAGTCGCTTTTAAGACACGACAATGTATGTTAACGAAGCTCAAACAGTCCAATTTTTTATGTGCTTACTGCTTTTCCTCTCTTGTCTTGACCACCTTGACTAGCACATGTTTCAGCTAACTGAACCTTTGGATTATGACATTTTCCCTTTTTTTGAAGCTGCGCCTTACCAGGAAGGTCCTTCAGGTTGTGCTCCACTTTCAAAAACGGTCCTTTGCATAATGTTAGGGCATATTTGCGGCGCGCCAAATCATGGTTCATTTTTCCTAGCGGTCCCCTGAATGCCCGTAAGGTGCTCAAGAAGAACAAGCGCTACACCGCTTGGCACCAATTTTCGGTACAAATCTACTTTGGGTCACTGGTGGTCCCTCTGGTGATATGACATCCATTACTACTCGCAGGTACATTTTGCGACTCATGAAAGCGTCAAACGAAAATGTAAAGCTTTGTCGTCACAAGGGAATCTAAGCCATAGACCGATCTTTTTTCCCTTTGGAATGCTGCTCGGGAAAGCTGGAGGACAATTACTATGTACGACTGTCTGCATGATCCAATAGAACGTGTTGGAAAAGCAAAAAGTTATGTACTCGGAGAGACCAAAATTCGCTACATTTCCTTTCTTTAAGAATTTCCGATGCACCCTCGTATAGTTGTCGATTCCGACAATTCAAATTTTTTCTGGTGATGGCAGTAATTCCCCGGAAGTTCGAACCTTGTACGTGATATTGATCGCTTTCAGGTAAAATTCACAACGGTACACTGCTAACTGTGCTGTGCGGTCAAGTGCTTGTCGACAATCCCGCGGAAGAACTCTACGAGAATGTGCTTGAGTGGAAGAAAGTGCCTAAGCAATTACAAGAGAAACTTACTACATTCAAATGCTGACAGTAATAAACTTTTATACAATAATCTGCTCCTTCCAATAGTTTAATATTTCATTCTTTTCTGTTGGCTAATTTCTACAGCTCTCACTTGAGCGATTGTTTTAAACGTAGTGCAAAGCTCCTACAGTGGCTGCGTTGTGAATGTTTGGTAGAGGCAAGCATATGTAGAATTGGAAGAGAAATATGAACTCTGTGAAAAGGTGCATAGATATGATTTGATCATCAGCTGAACCCCCTCCCCCCTCCCCAGAAAATTAGTAAGGTGAGATCTAGAGACTTTTTTTTGAGCCCGTATCTGAACTTTTCCGTGGAATTCTGACTTTCTCCGAATCTCCTATTCCGAAGATTTCTGTTTCTCCAGTTTCCCAGTTACGCATAAATCCATTTCATGGATTCTTCAATGTCGCTTTTTATCAGGAAGACCTCTGAGATACTCCTGTCGCAACACTCTTCTCGATGTTTCGTCAAGGAAATGAGCGCTTTTTCTAGAAGAAGTGAGCGTTTCTGTGTAGGCGAAGTTTGCTATTTAATATCGGGACTCTTTGCAATTTTCGTGCTTCTCCTGGCTGTAAGAATGCCAAAACAGACTTTTATTCCATAGTTAGAAGCTGATTGATCACACTTTGCTTAACTCAAGTCCGATCCTCCCAGATGAAAATTGAAGAGTACCTTCGAACCTATTGAACAACTTCGCCTTCTGCACGTGCAACATCAGAAAAATTTGCCACGGAAAGATGCATAACGAGTTCCTCGATAGATCCTGGACCGTTACGAGCTGTCTGAAATGCAGGTCGGGTGTGGTCTTAAAGCAGAAGCAACTTTCTCTGGATAACTGTCCAGCAGTGAATCGTTGAGGAAATTAGATAGCAGTTCAAGAGCGAAGCAATTTCGTCAGGCTCCATTAAGCTTGACGGCGATGGTATATGACTTCATTTTCTGAAAACGGTGAGGCAGTGAGCAAGTGCTTGCTTCTGCTGCTGAACGGACATACAGGGCTATTTTCCTGTATGAATTCTATCAACGAGTATACCTATGTACTTGGACAAAAAGTTTGCTGCTGTGCGCCATGAGCAAAAGTCTTTTTTTGTGCTCCGCCCCTCCGTACATCTATCGCAAGAAGACAGCGATGTAATGAGGGTTGAAACCGCAGATAGAGAAAATGGCATAATCGGAGTCCCTTCCTTGAAAACTCACGCGGGGGTTTTCTGACTCGCATCAACAGAAGCATTTTAAGCCGTGTTTAAACGTCGAAGCGAAGAAGCATTGGGATTCACATAAGTAATTCGTTCGTCGTGCTGATCCCGTTGCTGTGCTGCTCCGTGTAGGGTTGTGTCGTGACCCTCTAAACTGGTTTTGACCTCTCGAAACGGATGAGTTCTTCAAAGAGATCCTACAAGAGAATACATTGCTTGTAATTCAAGATCGGGTTTCGAAGTCGGTCATTCACCTTCTCTTGGATAATTTTGGGATGGATGATTTGGATTGATTTTCACTCCTCTTCATTAGCTGTATTCGGTATCCTATTATTATTACACTAAAGTTAAAAGAACCCTACAGCCATGGTGAAGGAACGATTGCTATGTTTACTAGCATCTGCGACTCATCTTGCTTTGGTGATCTGGCTTTTCTGATATCGCCCCAACATCTCTTCAACTTATTCTAGCCAATCCTGGCAATGATCAGGTGATGGTCTCAAAGGACGTGAGAGGCTTCACAATACGTTCAGAAGATCCAATGTGGGCTTATTCTCGTGATATCGCTTCAATTTATCGTTACATAGTGCTTCAACACTCTACATATGAATGCTTAAAAATTATGTTTTCCTATCGATGTATAGTAGCGTTTTTTGTTTGCGAGTTAACCTCGATCAAAGTTTATTTGCACATGCGGTAATACGTTGCTTAGACATAGTGCACCTCTGCGTGCATCATAAATAAATCAGATTGGTCCCCCGTCAACCGCCGGGACGTTGCTTCCTGCGTAAGCTTCACGTCTTCCGCTATTCACGTCAGAGTAATACGTCAACACGGATATAGCCCTCCCTCTTGAAAGCGGTTGTTCTCCCTCCCTGCATCCTCTCCCTCCCACCACCTCTTCTACCCTCCCTCTTGCCCCTCCGGCGGCCACGGTAGCACCATGTCCTCCCTCCCTTTTCTCCTCCTTCCCTCCTTCCCTCCCTCTTCCACCCTCTCTTCCCATCTTCCTCCTCCACCTTCCTGCCTTCCCTCTTCCTGCCCTCTCCCTTCTACCCCCTTCAAGTAAGGTGGTAACTGTGATTCATAGTGATAGCTGATAACTGGTAAATTGCTGTAATTAGCAAATTGATAGAATACAACTGCAACAGGCTAATCATTTCATTGGCAGAAAACATTTACATTTTGTGGAGGCCGTCGTCACTTGTGGTGTGTGGTCTGCACTCGACGCACTTCTGGTTTTCTGAAACGGACGGTGTGTATGTTTGGCCTCCAAAATGAAGTGACAAGGAAACACATGTAATGAAAAAAGGCTGGTAAAACCTAGCTCGCAAGACTCGAGCATCAACCTCCTCCAATGACATGATTGTGATAAACACCATCGGATAATACACATCGACTATGTTAACACATATTGAACACATTACCGGTCATTTCATTTGGTGCTGCAGTGGCAGCTGAGGGCAATGAAGCGAGGAGGAGAGGATAATGAAATGAAGAGGAGGAACAATTCAGCAGACCTAAGGTACAGTTAAGATGTCGCTCTGGACGTCTAGGTGGTTTGAGGGACCAATTTGGTGTAGGTCGATGCAGGCACGAGAAATTTGGATCACCTTAAAAATTTGGTTCGAAATCGAACGGCCATGATATGTATAGAGATTTTGCTCCCTGTCCATGAAGTTATCCTTTCCAATTAGTCTCAAATGACGCCACACGTTTTGATCGAAAGCAGTGTCGGGAACTTCATTCTGCATCATGCAGTTGAAGGACGATAAAACACACTCACATTTACAACCTTGCGTTTTCTTCATATTTTTCTGGGATCGCAAGAGATGTGGCTGAATTCTGGAAGGGAGAAAAATGTATCTGAGTATGATGACAACTATCACAGCAATGTGACCAGTCTATTCAATGGTGGCCAGATTATTACAGTAGCCAAATAAAGAGAATCTGCACAAAAGTATTGCACACATATGTATGAATATCATGTTGATGAAACTTCTTGGAAAACTTCCACATAAGCAGGCACAACGTAGAGTTGTAGGAATTTTCAGTTACGTACCAAACAGAATCGTCTGAGTGCCATGGTGTAAAAGGAAGCTACCATACGATGGGCAATGGCTCGATCTCTCAGCTATCGCTTTAACCCTTAGACTACAACTTTTTTGAAACTGTGCTATCGATGTGTTTGGCGCAGTAACTGTCGCTCCCGGCAACAACTAATCATCTATAGAATTTTGGCTGGAGTACGCTGGGTTTGGTCCAGAATTTGATCCAGGGGCCATACTCGCGGTGTTGCCACCACACCATCCCCGCTCAAATAAGTATTTTGAAAAATAAATTTGCAACTTGATTACTATTGACAAATGCACATTTTTCACATTTCAATAGTGGAACGAAGCTAGTGCTGGATTGGGACCACACTGTAAAGGCGCTTCGAATCCCACCGGCTGCTTCTGCCTCCGGAAATTTACCTCGACTTCTACTTCTACTAAAAATCATGTCGTCAAAGGAGTCTTCTAATCCCACTTACGCACCACCCGAATTTTGGAAGTTTGATGCTGTAGAACGCCGCGCTGTCCTCTTGCTGGTTTTTGCTTATGAAATGTCTTCATCTCTCATCGGTCTGTCTGCCTATGTTGCGCTTATGACATAAATTAGGGAGATCCTAAGACCAATGGAGCGAGTATTGTGAGTTTGGAAACCTAAATTATTTTGGGAGCTGCGCACACTGAGCAGTGACCTGCGAAATGGCTTGCTTTATTGACTTATCCAGGGTAACTCGCTTCGACTTCTGAAGATTTGCTGACAGAGTAAGAATTACCAAGTTTCTATTTGTGCACAATTCCGCCATCAAGCGGGCGCTTCCGATCTCAATAAGTCCAAAACTGTGGTAGTGTCTTTGACTACGGAAGTGGTACACATGTGTACCACCAGTAGTCAAAGGGATAAAGGCAAACCCCGGGATTGAAAGGGGCCGATGGTTGCAGTCCCATAAGGATGAGCGCCCTAACCGCGCAATTTTTGCGACGAAGCTGGAGTGATCTAGGTAGGTACGGACCTTACAATTTCCCTAGCGGTATCCTTCCTACTAGTCGGGCTAATCCCGGGGTTTGCCTTAAATGAACTAAATTTGCTGGTGGATGCTCCTAGTCTGACCAGCCTCTCGAACTGCAAAGAGGTTCTGTTAACGAAGAAATGGTATCTGATGTTACGTCTTGCCCTGCGAGCAACCACCTTCATTGAACTACCCTCGTATTAGATAACCGCGTACGTCGACTCCTAAAGGGCAAAAACTTGTCGGTTTGAAACCAGTGTTGAAAATGAGGGGTTTCGGAAGGAAGAAGGCTAAACTTCTCTCTCTTAGCGCAGCAGTTATTCGAATCTCATTACCCCCTCGACCCGTTTTGGTCAAACTGCTACCAGCTCTTGCCGAAGCGTCACTGAAAAGTTACTAAAAAATTTATGAATTTAGCACAGCGCTCGCCTAATAGAATCTTCGCATGTTGCTCGCTCGGAAGCCTCTCGTTGAATTATGAGTATTTCAAGTGTACTCTTATTAGGAGGAAAGGCCTGCTTGAACCCAGCAAGGTGCGAATATTTCAAAGTAGGTAAGCCGGAAAGCTTTTTTTATAAACTATGGTAAAGCCAACAAGAATGCCATACTCGCAAGCAGGGTGAATATCGGTCGAGGAAATCCTCGACAGGGGGGTCGTACCTGTTCGGGCTGGGTCATGGGGGGTCGTACTCTTGGGGGTCAGTAACAGAAGTGGTATCATGGTGCAGATAGGTAAGAGGGTATAGCGCA